TGCTGAGCCCGGCGCTGGGCTGCGCGCTCCTGGTAAGTCCTGCGCCGCCAGCCGGCCCTCCGCCTCCGGCCCTTGGCTGCTCGCATCCCCTCCTGTCCTGCGGTGCCTTTTATGCATCTCCTTTATTCACCTCTGGTTGTCCGGTGTCCTGCAGTTCATTATCACTTTTGCTTACTTTACTTGGACTTTTGCTTCTTATTAGCAAGGAAGTGGCCCGTTGGAAAATGCTACAAGAGGTGATGTCAAAAAAAATTATATAGAGTACTATCTGGGTGCGGGGAACACACAGTACACCATCAGGGCCATTCCTGCAAGACTTATGGGCAGTTTGGGAGAATTTGTACTAGAAGAAGGGTTTCTCTCCCCCCCACCCCACACTTTCTAACTATGCCATTTCATATTTTAATAACGTTTTATTATTAAAGTAGATGGGATGGTACCAGTTCTCAATTTATTATAATGGGGAAATGTTGGTGGGATGATGTTACTCATGCTAGAGAAAATATTTGAATTATACAAACAGGATTAAAAACTTAGATGCCGTTTAAAAATCAAAGGTTTTGTGTGTGTGTGTGTGTGTGTGTGTGTGTGTGTGTGTGTGTGTGTGTGTGAGAATGGCAGATCAATCAGACATCCAGGAGACTGGAAACTCTTTACTGAAGCCACGGCTGGGGTTTAGGTGCTGGAATAACTGAGTTTCAGTCTCTAGCCCTCAAAGTGAGTGGATGGCTAAGTAGTCTGCTCCTAGTGCCTGGGACACACACAGACACAAGGAGATAGGCGACCAATGCCTGCAGGGAAGCTGGACAGCGTCTGCACATTCGCTTGTTCCACCTAACACACCCGCGCCCACGTCCACAAATACGGACACCATGGAACTTTTAAAGCGAACCTTTACAGACACACGACACCCAGAATCGCATGTTGTCAGTGCCTAGTGAAGTTTCTCGGGTCAAGTCCTTGTGAGCTGACGCACAGATCAAAAGACATCCTCGGTACCCTAAAATCTTCCTGTGCTCCTTCCCCGCCATTGCTGTGTCTGTGACCAGAATAATCAGTGAACTGAACACTAGCAGTTTGTTCAGCTTCTACTTGAATGTTGTGTACATGGCTTCTGGCACTTTGGGCAATTGGGTCTTTTCACACAAAGTTCTGCTGCGAGATTCAGCTCAAGTGTTGGATGTACACTGGCTTGTCTGTTTTCATCACCATAGAGTACTCCACTGTGTAGACACAGTTAATTTAATCGTTCCAGGTTTGGGTAGCATAGATAACTCTGCTATTGACATGAGCTTCTTTAATATGGGATGTTTGTATTCTTCTTAACCTTTTGTGCTCTGTCATAGTTTTAATGAATGATAAGCATACTACTAGTGACTTTTAGTTTTCCAAGATTCCAACTAAATAATATAAGCTCCTAGTAATAAACACAGATATTTTTATATACATGTGTAGTGAAAGGATATGTGTTCAGAAACACATTTGCAGAAGCAGAAGAAAAACTTTGTATGAAACTTAAGCACAGTAACTACTTTAAGTAGAAAGATTTGGCTTTCCTTTCCTACTGTTTCTGAGATTATTTTATAAATGGTTGGAAAGGGATGCCTGTATTTACCAACAAGAGCTGTAAGGCTCTTTGATCAGCACCGAAGCACAGGTGGAAGATTGCAGATGTTTGCTCTTTTGCACCAGAGAGGGCCATAGGCCCGTGGGCCAGAGTGAACAGCAAGATGGACTGTTCCCTCTTCAGCAGCCTGGTGGCCTGATGAGAAAGCAGACATTGCACATGCAGTTGTATTAGGGTTATAAAAGAGGACGCTCCTGGACGGCTTGGAAATATAACAGACCCAGCCCTCCAGGACCTCTTAGGGGAAGTTGCACAGCAGCATCTTGGAGCCGGATCAAAATCCAGACGGCAACGCTATTGCTCACCTGAGCAGGGGCAGTGCCAAGTCGCTCCTCCCTGGGGTTTTAGTTTTCTCTTCTACCAACCATAGGTACAGCCAAGATAACCCCAGGAGGTGCCTGTGCTCCCAGTTTTACGTTCACAGTTCTGATGGCACTCGCAGGAGGGAGAGATGGCCACATCCTCTCAGCGTGGAGGAGAGGCTCAAGAGGCACAAGAGTTCACTGTTGGTGATGACATCCAGGGGTCCCAAACCCGAGAAGTGGGAGAAGGGCATGCGGTGTGACAAAGTTGGACTCTGGCTTTCTTTTTTCCGGGAGCAGAAGATGTGGGGGAGGCAAGCAGTGAGGGGTGATCGTTAGGATGCCTCCACAGTCACGGGCTCTCCTAGGAGGCTCACGGGCACATGAAGGTGAGAGTGTACAGCGTCACGCCTGCCCATGAATTACCTGTCTCTCTGGGAGCACGCTGGCCTAGGCCTGGGTTGTAAGCTGTGGCTGAGATTTCCCATGATGCAGCACCCTCACTTCTGCAAGCTAAGCTCTGAGCAAATGCTATTATCCTAGGCGTTGGGGTGCAGGGGGGGCAAGGGGTGGAGATAGAGATGTTTCTGTCTCAGGGCAACTGTTAGATCTGTCTGTCTTTCTTTAGGATAATGCCCCTGGGGCTTTTGACCCTGCTTTGTTTATTTTGGTCTCCCTCCCATTCTCTCAGTGGTTGGGTCTGTAATATTTACCCAGCTTTTTTGTGTGTGCCCCTCCTCCTCCTTTCTTTTTCTTTTCATTATGATTTATTTTTAAAGAAAATGAATACTCTGCAGTTTCTAGTATAATCGGACATGAACTCAGCCCCAAACTGCCCTAATCCCTGTCCACAGCAACCTCGCTGGCCTCTGTCACCTAGCAACCTTCAGTACAGTCCCTAGTGCCAGTCACAGCTGTCCAACACCATTGGTGGAGAAAGTAAACTCTCTGTGCCCAGCGTTCTGTCCAGTCACGTCCAGAGCACAGGGGCACCGGACACACACCCGGGTGTCCTTGCACTGTCCACAAACTTGCCTTTGGGGTTTGGCTCCTGGCCGCCCTCAGCCCCCTGCCTGTGAGCTCCCCTTGTGTGCAAGCTTCCTGCCAAACTGGTTATTTGCTTTAGCATCTTATTAACCAGTAGCATTTCCTTTTCCTCGGGCTGAGTTTTTCCTTTGCAAAAAAGGTGTGTGTGTGTGGGGTGGTGGGAAGCCTGGGAATTACACACTACAGAGAAAGACTGATCTTAAACTTGCCTCGCGATGCCTGGCTGCCCCTTCTGTTGCTAGGAGGGAGCCCAGATGCCAGATTGATCTGTGTGTCTGTGTTTTTTACCCCATAGAGCAGTAGTTCTCCATTGTATCAGTGTCTTTCCCCGCACTTTTATAATAAATCCTTTGTAACAACCTCCCTGTCCCCTGAAATGAAATTCAGAGTATATATATTTTGCCTACACATATAACTTTTATAAAGTACAACATCCAGACATAACTATACTATAAAGTAGCATTAAAAGGAAAGTAATTTATAATAAAATAAGCTGCACTAGAAGACATAAAGAAGTCATGGCATGCCGGCAGTTTTATGCAGAACTGTCACCACAGACGCGCCACTAGAACTTAAGACTGGGGCAGGGGACACATGTCATTCCAGTAACTCCAAAGTGTGACCAGGGCTGGTGTGCGTGCCCTTTCTGAAGTGGTCAGCACATCTTCCTAGAGTTTTAACCAAAACGAAGTCCAAGCTTCTATCAGCTTTATTGCCCTTAAATCCCTGGAAGACTTAGTCTGCAAAACTATTATACAAAAGTCCCTTTGTATATAAATAAAATGGAGTTCTGAACCAGGCTCAGATAAAGACCCATACACTTTTCACATAGATTTATATCAGTTACCAATAGGACATCTGAGTACACAGGGACATGGGATTGTTCTGATAGTCTGGGATGCTTAGCAACAACAAATTCCAGGGCTTCTCCAAGGGAACAGCCACACCCATGATGCAAACCCAGTAGGAACTCTTTACAAGTACAGACTTTCTGATTTACAGCTCCCAGGTCTCTGCAGTCCCTCGCACAAAGTGCACCTGCTGAGTCCATGAGCTATGGCAAGCTTTTCTAGGGTAGTAGGTGATCCACCAGCATTCTCCAGTAATGTAGCCACAGAATTTATCTTATTGTCAGTGACTTAACAAGCTGTAGGCTTTGATAGCTTTCCAAATATTAATATAACAGTCTACCTAACTGATCGATATATCAAATGTTCTTTTATGAATCTCTACAATAAACATTCATCAATAACAAATAATAAAAATAAAACAGATTTAGCTATGGTTCTGTGGAGATGCAGTGTACATTTGGCTGGGCTAGATTTCTTCCCTCCCATAGGGCTGGACTGCATCTCGTCTACTAAGAGTCAAACACAGGGTTTGTGGTATTGACTTTGGACATTAAATATTCATTTTGGGTTTGATGAATTTGATGTGCTTGTAATACATCCCAACAGCGTGGCCAGGATTTGAGATTCAAGAACTTTCAGACCATGGAAGACTACTGGGCTAGCAGTTTGTAAAAATCTGGGTCACTGTCCTAGAGATGATTTCGCATGACAAGAGAAGAGAGGAAGCAGCTGCTCCAGGTCCATTTCCGCTATTGATGGCCATGCAGTAGCAGCCATGTTTAGAAAAGAAAACAACCATCAAACTTAGCAACCCACAATAGCAAGAACTAGAGAATTGGAAATCCTAGCAACATCTGTAAACTATCTATGCAAGAAGAAAGAGTGAGGTATGGCCAACTAGAAATAGATACAAGGAGAGTATTTTTGTGTGACATGTAATTAGTTTTTGGAACTCACTACCACAGAATATTTTGGAGCAACTAGCATAGAATGTCCAAAAAAAGAATTCTTTTAGACAGTTGTAAGGGATAAGAATAGCGTTACAACACATGAGGTAAGAAACTGTCATACCCACACCCTCTCAAGCTTACCTGGCCTCTTTAAATACTTCAAGGCCAGAGCAGTCCACACACACATTGAAATGGTTTCTTCCAGCTACAAGGTGATAGTAGTTTTCTCTGAGATGTCTCAGTAAGCTTTTTTTA